ACAATGGTCACCAGTGACGGCGGGCAGCGTACACGAATACATAGTCGGCCTGAATTCTGCTCTTCCTATCCTGGTGTCCGCTGCCGTTGCCGTTGCCGATAACCTCTTTTCCTTACGCCCTCCGAAAACCAACGGCCAGGTTATATTCCTCTCTCCCATCGTCGCGCTCGGTATATCACCGTGGTCCAAGTAGACAAGTCATGTAGCGGTCCTCCGACACAGATGAGCCGGCAACGGCCAACCTGCGTATCGACTTTATCCCTCGCTCTCCGAAATCTTCTTCCAATGCCGTGATTCACGGTCTAATTCCCCTTCTCAACCCGCGACACCCGAAGCGCCAACTTCCTCTCCAACTCCTCCTTTTCTTCGGCGCTGGGAACCATCCCCATCGCGTTTTCGACCTGCGGCGAGAACCACAATCCGAGAGATGCCCAGGCCATAAGGCCGGCGCCGAAGAGGGCCCGCGTCTTGGGGGTGAGGGAGCGGTAGGAGCTGTACCAGCTAGAAGTTTTAGCCTTCATTATACGTGATGGAGTGTTAATATCTGCTGAGTACTACGTACCTCCAGAGACTCATTGTGGATGCGCTGCGCCTTTGGCTATTCGAACTTCTCTTGGAGTCTTAAATGAAGTTTGGCCGAGGAGCAAACGGAGTACCCACCCAGCTGTAGTCTGGCTTTGGGCTTACTATTTTTGGTATAGCGTAGAAATTTTCCTGCCTCAGGCAGTGAGGCATGGTACATTGCAGTGGAAGAGAGGATTGAGCTCATATTAATATTATCTGAGGCATGGTACATTGCAGTGGAAGAGAGGATTGAGCTCATATTAATATTATTGACAGTCTTGGTCGCTCAGAACCAGCAGGCTAATTTGCAAACTGGAAGCCAGAGAACCTGCGTCGATTACTTGGAAGAGCAACTAGTTGTATCAACCCTAGGACTAGGTTCGACCGTCCAATAGAGCAGTAACGCTCCATCTGTATACTGGTATGGCACAAGATGGCATATCGCTCAAAACGCATTGCTGTCCAACTAGCAGGGAATCGGTAAACAGACACAGGCTCCCGAGGCACGAAAGCTGCGACTAAGCACAAGTGACGAAAATGACATGAAAGCAAAGCAATGTGCTAGAGACAGACCAGTAAAAATAATTTTCTACATTGATTACGGAGGAAAAAAAGCAAAAAATTCATCAGTCATCCACGCCTTACTGTTTGCCGTAGGCACGGTCGATGTCGGCCCTGAACTTGTTGATGATCTTCTTGCGCTGCAGCTTCTGGGCCGCAGTCATGTAGCCCTGGTATATGGTCAGCCCGTAGTTTGAAGAACAGAGTGATAAAACTTACATTCTGAGGTGTCCACTCCTCATCAGACAACACGACACCACTGATGATCTCAATACCCTTGAGACCGCTAGCCTTGCCAGCGCTCTGGAGCTGCTTGAGGACAATGGCCTTCAAGTTCTCATTGTGAACCAGTGACTCGAGGCTGTCACCCTCAATGCCATTCTCACTGGCGATCTTCTTCAAGGCGACCTCGACGGGCACAATGATGGCAACGGGCTTGTCCTGGTCCTCGGCGGCGTAGACACAGATGTTGCCAACCACGGGCGAGGAGCGATATACAGACTCGAGCTTCTCCAAAGCGATGTATTCCCCGTTGAGCGTCTTGACAAGGTTCTTCTTGCGGTCAATGATCTTCAGATGGCCATACTTGTCGAACTCGCCGATATCACCGGTCCTGAACCAGCCGTCCTCCGTGAAGGCGGCCTTGGTCTCTTCCTCATTGTCCCAATAGTACGTGGTCACACTACCACCGCGGATGAGGATTTCTCCCTGAGGCGGATCGTTCTTAGTGAAGTAGCCAGCATCCGGGAAATCGACGAGCTTGACTTCGATGCAGCCGGGAATTTCACCTAGGGCATCCGGGTTCCAGGCCATAGGGTCGTTGAGAGCGCCCATAGCTGACGTCTCGGTCAAACCATAGCCACTGATCATTGGGGCGATGGCCATAGAGAGAAACTTCTGAGTCTCCTTAGAGACCGGTCCACCACCATTCATCACAATACGCAGTCTACCACCAGTAGCTTCCTTCAACTTACGGAACACGACGGCATCCAGAATAGAGGCACCCATGCCAGCTCCAGGGAATCCATTTGTCATCAGGAAGGTCTTTGCGGACATTGCGCCCCAGAACAGGCCCCTTACAAGGAAGCTGGCCTTGTTCAAGTTGTTGAGCACACCCTTTTTCACTGACTCCCAGACAGCCGGGACACCCACGAGAATCGTTGGCTTGAATTCGCGGATATCACCCTTGCTATTGCGCATCGAGGTATCCGACAGAGTTCGGGGGTTCCCGTAGCCCATTGTGCCACCCCAGAACAAGCAAAGATTCTCAAACATGAACTCCAGGATGTGCGCTTGAGGAAGGTAGGTAAGCAGAGCATCGGAGGGTCCGATGTAAGGGCCAACGATCGCATTGATACCAGCAGCTGTAGAAGAGACGCGTTAACTTCTCTAATCCGCAATATATTTTCAAATTTGCTAACTTACTGGCAGCGATGACATTCTTGTGCGTCAGAGGCACACCCTTTGGTGGACCCGTGGAACCGGAGGTGTACATAATGCAGCAGAGGTCCTCGGGAGACGGGGGAACTGGTTCGACAGGGTTCTCCTCTCCCAGCTTACGCAAGTCCTCAATGCTCATGATGTTCAAGTAGTCGAAATCGGCCTTCAGCTTGTCCAGGTCCTCCTGCTTAACCTCCTGGTCGGTGTTATAGATAACGTGCTTGATAGACTTAACGTCGGCGAGAACATTGGCAAGGGAGCGGATAAGACCGGGGTCAAGGAAGATAGCAAGACTCGACGTCTGGACCAGAGAGTGCTTCAGTCCCTCCTCTCCAAGAGTGTCGTATGCAGTAACGATGGTCAATGATTGAGATGCAGCACCTGTTTGGATTTATTAGTCAGTGGCCTATCGCAGGGGCTGCAGAAAAGGGTGAACGAACCGTGTGACATGGCCAGCCAATGTGCACTTGAAAGAGATATATGTCAGCAATCATTCCTCTCTATAGATACTGCCGGTAAAGCTCACCTTGTTGCACCGTAAAGGTGAATCTTGTTATCTTTCTCCAACCCCAGCTTGCGCAACCCACAACCCAATTCCAACGCAAGGCGTTCATATTCAACGAAGCTCTTGTAGGTATAACCGCTCATCTCAAAATACGTCCACTGCTTGTCAACCTCCTGCTCCACACCGTCGACAATCTTCTTGACCTTCTTGTTCTCCACATGAGTTTTGATAAGGCGACGAGTACCAACGGCCTTCGCGTTACCGAACACACGCGCGGACCGTCTGAACACATCGTAGGTAGTTCCGACGTCCTCCGCGGGCCGCAGGATGAGGTTGTCTTTGGCCTGTGGCAATCTACGAGGGATGGTCTCTCCCGGTACGGGCTCGTAGCCAGAAGCCTCCACTGTGAATGGAGGCTTCTTGGACATCCGGGGTTGGAGGTGAATGTCTCGCTTCGACATTTTGAACTGCGATCACGAAGATCCGGGGAGCTGTACGACGAGGGTCGGACGGCTAGAAAAGGTACTAACAGCTCCTGTTTTGATCGACCGAAACCGTCAGCAGCTATTGCAATCAGCGCAATCTCACGGATATTTTCGAAGAACAATACAACAAAATAGAAATGTAGGTGGTGAATTGGGGGTGGTCATAAAGCTTTCCAAGACGTACAGGACTGGAGATTCAAGTTGAATGCAAGAGAGAGGCGGGAACGCCGGAGAAAGGTCGAGGAGAAGTGGAGAGGGGATCAAAAATATATAGGGACAAAGCGCAGACACTCAAGCAGACCAAGAGGGGGAAAGTCTGGGCCTAGGAAGAAAGAGAGGGGAGAGGAGGATGAAGCCGCGCAGGTGAGCTAGTTGCTGCGGATGAAGTCAGAACCTAAGTGTTTGTGGCTGGGGTTTCTTGACAGGGCGGCCCAAGCTGCGGTTCTTCGCTACTATGACGCTACAGGGACAACAGCAAAGCAAAAACAGGAACGACAACAAAGCGGCTTGAATCCCCCCTTTGCTATTTCTCTATTAATTCTATTAAAAATTCAGCTCCTTTTCTAACTCGGAATATTTTGCACCACGATATTGATTGAGCAAGCCCAAGTCGCGAAGATCCAAAGTTGCATGCACTGTAACCGTTCGCTGGGAACTATGCCGCGGTTCGAGCATCAATACAGCCGAACAGATCGCTTCTGATCATGGATTGAGATTAACCTGTGGATAATTAATTTACTTCACGACAAGCATCAGGCGCTCTAGTTTCCTCGTTGTCTCACGTCTGCTCAGATGCCTTGTCCGTCGCAAGTCACTATGTGGAAGCGACCTCTCGACGGGGAAAGCTCAGTTCCGACGATCCTTGACCTTAGCCTCCTTTTGTTGGGACTTTTGCCCAACACAATGACGGACTCAATCATGGTCGACCTCTAAGCCATAAGTCTAGGCAGTAAGCCATAAGTCTGGACAGTACGCAATCTAGGCAACTTGGAGACTTGGTAGAGACTCTTGTACACTTTTTCATTCGTTCCTGGACCAAAGTTCGCAGTGACTGAGCAGATGGCGACTGGTCACGCCCCATGCCACAGCCCAGGTCCCGTGACCTAGAGCTCTTTTACCCCAGACCAGAATTTTTAGAGATTCGACCAATCAGTTGTCCTTCTTTCTGGATAGCTTCATAGCTTTGAAAACTGGTAAACAGTCTTTGTTCCTGATCATTATCCTCGGAGTGTACATCTATCACAAGCTCAGAGACAAGAAAAAATTCTGATTTACAGGGTACATGGCGCTACGCAGTCTATCCTTGACGCTACAGCGGCTAATCATGCGTAGGTACCTCGCTAGAGAACAGCTCGGGGCTCGATCCTCGGAGCTTATGCGCAGGACCTTTATGCCTAGACTGTGACTGAACTGCTCGCACAAAAGTACAACTCAGCAATGGTAGTATGGATCAGACAGAGGTTCTGAATAATTTTCTCTCGTCTATTGGCGAGGAGGTGGAAGATGCTGAAGAGGGTATGTACTCGTAGCTGAGCCATAGTAGAGAGGGAAAAAATAAAAATGATGAAAGAAAAAAAAAAAAGGAACCAAAAATTAATAACTCTCCAGAATCCTTCCTCCTATTCTCAAGAGACATCCCCTCCGCGAACCTAGGCTTCGTCGACTCCCGCGCAACAACCGTCGACGTGACCATCCACGGTCAAGACTACTCGATCAGCCAGTCTCCCACCCTCCTCTCCTCATCTCGAGCAGGAGGAACAACAGGCGCAGGTAGACCTTCCCATCCATCAAATTTCGCTCTCGAAACCATTCAGCTAACCCATCCCAGTGCTGTGGAAAATCACCCCTGCCTTCGCAGAATGGATATCAGACGCTCAATCAAACCCTCTCTGGAAACACTCTCTCCTGGCCTCCTCCTCGACAGTCGTTGAGCTCGGCTGCGGCATCTCAGGCCTGATAGCGCTCGCTCTTGGCCCGTCAATACGGCACTACGTCGCAACAGACCAGGAATACGTCCACCGACTTCTCCGCGAGAACCTCGAAAATAACAAGTCCGCTGCAGCATCAACCACCGCAAAGCCCCAGCCCAAGGGGAAGAGCAAGAAGCGGGCGACGGGACAGCAGAAACCGCTGCGCAAGCAAGACGGGCCAGGGTCGTCCAATATCACCTTTGCCGCGCTGGATTGGGAACTGGATGTTCCGGCGTCGTTGAAGGATAGTATCGGGCTCTCTGGGAACGATGACCATGACGGCGAGGAAGGAGACGATAAAGGGTTCGACCTCCTCTTATCGTGCGATTGTATCTACAATGAGGCGCTTGTTGCCCCGTTTGTGCGCACGTGCGCGGATTTCTGTCGATTGAGGCCGGTTCACACGGCCGGGCAAAGGGCGAGCCGGCCCCCGACGATCTGCATTATTGCGCAGCAGCAGCGGTCTCCGGATGTCTTCGAGGCGTGGCTGCAGGAGACCCTGAGTGTGTTTCGCGTGTGGCGGCTGAGTGATGAGGCGCTGGGTGAAGGCCTCAGATCGGGGACAGGCTATGTTGTGCATCTTTTACTGTTGAGAGATGCTACGTAGGGAGTAACAGGTGAATGATGACCATGCTGACATTCAAAGTCATCGAGTCAGATTCGACCGTTGCGTTACGTGACAAGCCCACAGACCCTGCGTCTGGAACCTCAAATGGACACTATCAATGAAGGCCACGATCCCTTGAACAACTGTAAATATTTTGCTGTACTTGAACAATCCCCAATGAATAGAGCCTATAAAAGCAGCAAGTACTGCTTACAGCTACAATGATCAACTGCCATCGGGAAAAGCATGCATCAGTCAGTCAATTCTCTGTGCTAGATTTGTCCCCTGCACAATCTCTTTGGTCATACCTGTCCCCGGGGAAATGTCATGTTCCCAGATGGCCTCCCCAGTCCCCTTCATGTTTGCCAGGACAGGCTGGCGAAAGCGCCAGCGGAGCAATTCCTTCGCAACATGGGATGGGTCTCGGCACGCACGATCAGTGCTGAATCCCCGGAAACCTCGAAGCCGGGAAAAAGGCTCCAGTTCCATGCGTTGCGCCGGATTTGGCCCCTGGACGATCTCTTTGATCATATCTGTGCCTGGGGGGAAATCGTGTTCCCAGATGGGTTCCCCAACCCCCTTCATATTCGCTAGGACGGACTGGCGAAAGTGCCAGCGGAGCAATTCGTCTCCAACACGGTTGGGGTCATTTTCCTTTCGGCATACAGGGTCTAACGCTCTACCGTCGACATCAAAGTGATCATAACCAAAGTACGTGATTTTGTAGGCATCCTAAAGGCAGATGAATAAGAGGTCAATAGCTCGCCAAGCAGTAGAATCACTCACATCGGGGTTCACAGAAACCAGATACTTAACAAAAGCATCATGCATCGACCTAGTAAGCAATAAGCCATTCTGAATTGAGTTAATAGGCGCGCTATATCCCGTTGCGGCCTTTGTAATCCAGTGGCTAAAATTGCCTTCATTCCAGATATCTTCCTTCTTCAGAGGAAAGATATGGGCTGCTTCAAATCCAGTCCAGTCATCAAGATCGGGTGCCACGTTTTTTAATCCCGATAAGACACATCTTCTGTCACGAGCCCGCACTCCATTCCTGAAAGAGCTTTCTTGACCACTTTGGCTATGGGACCATATCCGGAGCACGGGCGTCTCATCAGTGAGTTTGATGTCGCCTAATATGTTAGCCAGATTCGTTGTGGCTTTTGTACGATTCTTATTGTTTCAGAACCATGGTGTGGTTACAGAGGCCAGCACATCGCCAGTTTGTTGGGCGTGACTGCCAGGCTCTGCTTTACCACGCTGATTACCTGGATATTTGCAATAAACACTGCTGTATACGTACCTCCAGCACAAAAGATATCATAGTGTCCTTTCTCCAAAGGTTCGTCATTCAGCAGGAGTGGCTGGCCAGTGGCTCTTGAATAAATAGTGATTGGTTTGTCAACAATGAGTAATATGCTTGTGAGCATTTCGAAAAAGTTTTCATTCGTGATTGATCCGTTTTGTTGCACACCACCAAGGAGTTCATCAGTTAAACCATTGTAAAACCACACATTTCGCGCGTGCACAAGACATTATGGCATGGCAGGGGCGTCACAATCTTCCTAACGTCTCCGATTAGGTGAGAAAAATCCATCGCGGCGACAGCCTGTGGGCAGAAATATTCTAATGGGAAAGTCAATACTTGATGTTGTCATGACAGGTAATGAGTCAAGATGAAGAGGAAAGTATACCACTCGTACCTTAAGTGGAAGATGCGCTATAACGTCATTAGCATTTAGGTTTCGGGAGGCCCTAGGGCCAGGTACCACTTCAGCAGTTACCTGACTAATAGAGGCAACTGTACTATCCCGCCTTCACTGCTCTGATGGATTAGGGTTGCTGTCCGCAAAGAGGAAACCAATGTATAATCAGGAAGAAGAGGAAGAGGTTGTCAAGAAGAAGAACAGAGGGGAGAGAGGGGGAGAAACTGCCCTTATATACGTCCAAGTGCCTACGCCTTACCTGGGAGTGTCTGAAACTGTGAACATTTACTTCTAAATCATTCATCTTGCATAGTGAATGAAGCGTTGCAGATTGGCATTCACGAATAAAGCCCAACGTAACGAGAGCTAAGCGCAACACTGCAGCAGAGACATGGATAAAGGAGGCCTCGCGAGAGGTGAAGGTGGCCTAGTTATAAGGTTTCCCTACAAAGATGTTAGCTGCGAAGTGTCACAACAAGGGAAGGGACTTATCTCGCTAGTAGGAGTCCTCGCTCAAAACCAATTGCAGGCTACCACAGCTATATATATCTGTAGACATACGAGTAGATTGCGCCACCTAAATGAACTTAGAGCTTCAAGGCCTATTATTATCTGGATCTCATTTCTAACATACTAACAAATAGACATGCAGGCATATACCAGCTAGGCCTATGACTATTTATTTCCAATGCCTAGTCCCATAATTAGTTTACATTGCCTGGTTCCGCCGCTAGCTCATGAGACCATTAGCCACAAGGGATATAAAGCTAGGTCTGCGCGCTGAATGTATTTCTTCAGTTTTGTGTATTCATTCAATGGTACCATTAGGAATTAATTCTCTCTTTGCTGGATTATCAAGCCCTATGCAACTGGCGACAATCGTGGAGAGGCGTGAGGAACCGCAGAACTCAAGTTTTCTCGTTGCTCAGCGGTAGGATCTCGATCGATGATCGAGGAGATAGATTGTTTCGTGAAGCCATTCGGTTTCGGAAGTGTTGTGGGTTCTTCGGGTGTGGGTAGAGACGCTGCTGGGGTGTGCAGAGGTCGCTCTGTCGGCTCCGACTTCACAGGACACCGCTCCCGGCCTTCTTCATCAGAAGCGGACGAATACTCCATGTCGTTGGAGTAGTTGTCGGGATCCGCCGGGGCAGACTCCACACGGCTTTCCTCAGTCGAGGCACGATTCACTGAAGATACAGGCGGGAGAGGAGCGTTGGGGTCAAAGACCACTCCGCAGACCTCCAACGCCCTAGACTGGCTTCCCAGGCTGCGATCCTTGTGCTTCTTCGTCAGATGGCACATAAAGCCATGAAGCGTCACAAAATCAGCTTTGCCGCAGCCCTGAACCGGGCATGTTAGGTAGACCAAGCTGCCGTCGGATGGCCGCTTCCACAACGCTCGTCCGGAAGGATCATGTGCTGCGGGACGTCCATGGCGTTCCCCCCAAGCCTCTACATTCTTAATCGTGTATTTCTGTTTCCGCCTGATCGCATTGGCCGCTGACGGGTCATGCTGGATATGTTGCGTATGTTGTGGTGGAGGATGATGAGGTTGGGGCGCTTGCACTGCCGGTGGTTGTTGCGGAATAGGACGTGGCTCGGGGGGACTCTGTTGCTTAAAGAACGCAAGGGTCGTGGCTGCATTCGTTTCTGACAAGCGACGAGGCGGCGTGGGCCGCAGAGGCGGCGAGTCGATAGTTGCATTATACCCGAGTCCCATAGACTCTCTCTTTAGACGTTTCCTTTGTCTACGAAGCTCCTGGAGAAGAGAATCAGCGGTTATGTCACTGAAGGTCACGACGTCACAATGCATATCATACCTCTTCTTCAGCTTCAGCATGCTCAGTCATCCTACGAAACTCCTCATCTTCCCGTTTTCGAATCGCAAGTAGTTGACTACGGGCCGCCATTCGTGCCGCCTCCTCCTGTTCTAATTGCCTCAACCGAGCTTCGATATGGTCTATAGATGGAGGTTGACCAGGGGGGCCGGGAGGACCTGGAGGGCCAGACGGACCAGGCTCCTGCATAGGCGGCGGAGGGGGAAAAGGACGGTAGTAATGATGGTGATGATTCTGCATGGCATGTTCTGGAGGGATAGGTTGGTTTGGATTCATTGCGATTGGGTGGAATCGCGGCAGACTCATGTTCACAGCATGGCCAGGAAGGCCATTGATGCCGTGCTCGTGAACTGGGGGAGGCACTGGAGGTGGTGCGGCCACCGTCATGATGAATGAGGTTTCAGACTTTACTAATTTTCAAGTCTACTTGATCTCTCCTGTGTATCGAAGAGCACGCAGTCAGTTGTGGGTTTGCTTTGTAGTCGTCTCGAGAATGAAACCGCCTCGCAAGGAAGGGGATGTGTAGACAGAGACAGATAAAGACGAGAACAGAGAGATGCAAGTATTATCAATTAGATAAAATGTAAACAAAGTGTTAAGACGATTATATGAGTGAGTACTTCGAAGGAGGGAAAGAAATGTATGAAAGAACAGAAAAGAATGATAGAAAGGCAATGGACACTGGAGATTGGAGGGAAATAAGGGAAATACAGGACTGAAAAATCAAGACTTACCTACACTTGCAGGGTGGGTTTGCAGCGAAAATCGAAGTAGTACAATCCAAGCTCACCAATAGAGTCACAAAAAGTCAAAAAAGCAGAAAAGAAGAAAAACAAACTGCTAGTGTGGCTGTTTTAGCTGCACCTTGCCCGTTTTTCTGCTTTCTAGACCATTGGAAATTTCCCGTGGACCCCCCAGTTGTTGATTGACGCCCGCTAGGGTGACTATTCTGGAGTAGAAGAATACAAGTGGTAACGGTTGACGCAAGGGATTTCTGATGGTTGGATTGATATGAAAACAAGGATTGAGTTTAGATACTAATTGAAGCATGTAACTAGTGGTCTACTCCTAGACAGGTAAGTTGAGATTAAATGCTAAACAATCTAGATGAGGAAAATACTTAATCTCTTTTCGATAGGCAAGGTCAGGGTAAAATGAAGCGAAAAAAAATTAATAAAGTAGACTAACTAATAGACTAGATGCAAATTGATTTGGACAGCTCTCATCAGCTAAAATGCTAGCCTAGTAGACTAAGATACTAGTAGAAGTTCTGTTTTGTAGAGCAGACCCAGTGGACTTTCGTGGTCATCAGAAAACAAACAAATCCATGGGTCAAGGCAGGGACTTGCAACAGCACTAACGTTAGTGAGCTCCCGTATCAGATGCAGACGCAGCAGTATAATAATAAAGGAGAGTAAGGATTGTGGATATTCACATTAAGATGCACATTGAGAGCCAAGTTCTTGATTGCGAGTAAGCTCTTATTTCCCTTATGACTTTGATAAAGTGTATCTGAGGTCAATTGAACTTGTTTAGATGCATGTAAGCAGCACCAGAAGCCAACGGGAGTGTGGATTGACTGGATTTACTTGGACGGCCTACAAATCAGGCGTAGTGCAATCGATTATTATTGCATAGATTGAATCAGGGTTCCCTTTTAAAACAAGACCACTACTGTCACACTAGTGACAAACACAATCCATAAAATGTTAGGACTAATGTACGGAGTACGGGGCCTTGTTTTCTGGATCAAGACTGGCTACTCACATTTGGCGGTGACGATGACTCCCAGAATTAAGTAAAATAGAGAAGAAGAGAAAAGAATCAATCAGTGCCTTGACCAACTACTGTAAGTACTACAAACTATCCCAGGAAGTAAGAATCAGTATTCATGGGATAGATAAACATCCCCAAATCAAAATAGAGGGGAATCAAGGACTGAGCCATGGCTAAAGTTTGACATGTATCAGAAGTTTCAAGATCAGGTTTCCAACACAATAACAACATGGATTATTCCACTACAATTATTATTACTAGTAGACTCGATGAGGATAATAAATGGTAGAAAATGCTCTTGTCTTCAGGAATGCTTGTGTCCAAGTAGACCAGGTGTACATTTCTCAGTCGATGCGGTCTCCTTCAATTGTGTTTTTCGTTTCCTTGAAGGGCGAAGAAAATGGAAAAAGGGTATGAAGAAAATAACCCCCCTCCACTTAATTTATTTATAGTGGGTAACAGCCAATGGGCATCGGGCGATCTACTTTTGTATGTCACACAATCAAAGGAGCTGGGCAGATAGAATGCCACAGAAGCTGGAACAAGTCCCAGCTGATCTCCATAGTCTGTCAAGAGAGGTACAATAATGCATGAAAATGTCTTTGATTTTCTTGTGTCGAACCCCCCAATCATAAGAGGAGCCAAACTACCATGGAAGCTCGAAAACACTGACGAGGTCACCAAGATCCATGAGAAATCGAATTCAATTAAAATTGATCATGGTCGTTATGAAGAGAAATTAAAAGCATCTTCGTTCCATGTTTCTCAGGGGGGGGTGAGCCTTCAAAAGTCATCATAGTGTAATTATGACCAAGTGGGGGGGAGCCAGAAAGTCGAATAAATCGATACAATATTGTTATTATTATTATTATTAACTGATCGACAACAGTACTCGTACAGTAAAACTTCATTATAGTTATCGGATTAGTAACTATGGCTAACCATTCACCTCCTTTTATAATTCTTAATTTGATGTCCCCCAGTATTTATCCTCTTCAATCTTCCAGATGTAATGCCTTATTGGCTGCTGTGGATTATCAACTCCGGATGCTTGGTTCAGTTTATAAGAAAATGGAAATTAAGTACGTAAGACTCTAATGAGAAATTTCATCAACGAATGGGCTTGTAGCTCAGTGGTAGTAGCGCTCGCTTTGCATTTATAAATGCAGGTCTTCAGACCATAATTGCGAGAGGTCCGGGGTTCAATCCCCCGTGAGTCCATTATCCTTTTTATTTTTTTCCCATCCATCCTGAATAAAGATGACAGGGTTTTCATAATAATAATACAAACAATGACGTGGAATGACTCCCCAATAAAAAGCTTACTGCGGTATTGGACGCGAGGTCTATCCGCTATTATGGTTCAATATAATCATACTGTGTGAAGCATCCAGGACGCTTGAGCCGAGTCAAAAGCAATCAGTATCGGCTGACGAAATTCCTCACCCTACAAAATGTATGGCGGTCGAGTAGTTGATTTATTTATTCTTCTACATTGCTACTGCAACTCTGCAAGTCTCCCAGTGGAGATTAGCTGAAGCTGTGGCAATCCGATAAGAGAAAATCCAGGCCCTGACAGTTGACACCATTTTTATAGAAATCGAACTAATATTGTCATTATGCTATCACCATGACTACTATTGACGACATGATTCGACGATCATGGTCGCAGCTCCCGCCTTGATTGACTTGGGCGCTCCCTATATTGGCTTTGGATATCAGCTAGATTAGACAAGACTCCGTATCGTGTACGAATGGACAAAGAGAGCCTGTAGGTCACTCGGACTCTGTAAAGTATAAACGTATCCTATGCTGTCCAGTGGTGATCCACTCAAATTGTAAATAGTCAAGGTTGAATCAATAATGGCTCGAGTCACGAAAGTAGGAGCCCTTTCCCCCCTTTGCTTCCTTCTGTTTTGGAGTCCGGAGAATTGTCTCAGTTGGGTTCTCCCAGGAGTGCAAGCCTACAGAATTACTAGGAAATGAGGCTAACAATTGCCTGAATGCATGTTGGAATGATTCGACATTCCTCCTCGACCCTTTCTTGCCAGAACTCTATCGATGGATCAAAAGTCGGTGGGATGCAAGGAATGAAACTAGTGTTGAGGGACCACTGACCGTCAATTATGACAATAATGGCATTTGGCACCTAACAGTCAATTCATTAAGGCAAGACTAACTGGAAATCCTGTCCAAGATGTCCATCTTAATAAGGGTTCTGGCTTTGATCTCTCCAACGACTGCATGGCTATTCCAGTGTATCTGATGATGTACTATAGATACTGCATTTCACTCCTTTTATTAATTTATTATCACATGACTATTATAATTACCAATGTCTCCACAGGCTAATTTGTAGATTTTGTACTAGTTTAGGGTGAGAATTAAATCAACAAAAATGGACAGCCCAAGAAGCTGTTAAAAGGATTTTAACGCTCTAAGACAATAATAATAATTGATAGACCTATCTACTTCCCATCCATCAAAATGTCATAGCTGACATCTCGGTTCCAATCAATAGCCATATCACTTAGTTTAAAGGTGACATAGACCTTCCATAGCTGTGTCAACAAAGGCAAACTAATTTTGGCAGATCGTCGATTGATCAAGGCTGTGCAAGCTCTAATTCTGCGTTTTGTCACATTATAATTTTGCAGAATGGACGGTACCACGTATTGCATGCTTGACCCGTAGCTCAATTCCCTTCAAAAGACCATAGTAATCTACATCTTCCAAGCCTCTATTCGAGGCCCAAGGATGCCTACTTTTATGTTGAGTATTTCAAAGTTTACCACATATCATGGCCATCGACCCGCAAGTCTAAGAGGCCAACGAGCGATCCTTCGGTTAGAAGATTAAACAAACGGCAGGCAAAGGACAATTATGCCAGCCGCTCGACGAACCGAGATGTAGCCAAATTAAGCAAGCGACTTATTTGAGAGGTTCATCATTTTCCAAATATTGTGATATTCGAAGAGAGGAGAATTTTCATATTGTATGCTCCTGAAAGACAAGCCCACCACATCCGTTTTGTGGTGCCCAGCCGTCATGTCATTAAGTTACACCTCAGGCAATCCTTAAACCTTTCCAAAGAACTGCCCCCATGGAAAAATGAAATCTCAAGTATGCTCACCCGTCCCAAGAGGTATGAAGGCAGAAAAGGAAATGTAAACACCGATACACCGAGAGGAAAAAGAGTACATGAAAAGGGTAAACAAAAACATGAAAGCTATCAATATGTATACATGTCATACACGTGTTAAGACAGTGATGAAGAGAGAAGAAGTTGATGGAGGAACAATCCTATAAGATCACCCATGAACTTTTGAATATGCCGCTCGGGTATAGTTAGTAGTACATTTAGGCCTTGTTCTCACCCTGCTGGCCCTGAGACTGCTGCTGCTGCTCGGACTGAGCCTTGTGCATCTTGTCAAAGAGGGTCAAGCTGGCAGTCTGGAGCTCATCGGTCTTCTGCTTGAGCTCCTCGGCGGTGGCGGTGCCCTCGCCAGACTGGTTCTTGGCAACGAACTCACGCAGAGTGGCGATCTTCTCACGGATCTGCTCGGCCTCAGCCTTGTCAAGACGGTCCTCGAACTCCTTGAGAGCCTTCTCAGTGTCGTTCAGGACGCTGTCGGCACGGTTGGCAGCCTCAATGGCAGCCTTGCGCTCCTTGTCCTGCTCACCATACTTCTCAGCATCCTCAACCATCGACTGGATCTCAGAATCAGAGAGACCAGAGCCAGAGGCAATGGTGATGGACTGGTCCTTGCCGGTGGACTTGTCCTTGGCGGCGACGTGGACAATGGAATCGGCGTCAATGTCGAAGGTGACTTCGATCTGGGGAACACCACGGTGGGCGGGAGGGATACCAACAAGCTGGAAGTTTCCAAGCAGCTTGTTGTCCTTGACAAGCTCACGCTCACCCTGGAACACCTTGATCTCAACAGCAGTCTGGAAATCAGCGGCGGTAGAGAAGGTCTGGGACTTCTTGGTGGGGATGGTGGTATTGCGGTTGATCAGACGAGTGAAGACACCGCCGAGGGTCTCAATACCGAGGGAAAGGGGAGTGACATCGAGCAGCAGAACGTCAGTAACCTCACCAGCCAGGACAGCACCCTGGATAGCAGCACCGATGGCGACAGCCTCATCAGGGTTGACAGACTTGGCAGGGTCACGACCGAACATGGACTTAACGGACTCGGCAACCTTGGGCATACGGGTCATACCACCAACCAGGATGATATCCTGGATATCGCTGGCCTGAAGGTTGGCATCCTTGAGAGCCTTGCGGACGGGTTCAATGGTGCGGTTGATCAGGGGGTCGACGAGGGACTCAAGCTGAGAGCGAGTCATCTTCAGGTTGATGTGCTTAGCGCCGCTAGCATCGGCAGTGATGAAGGGCAGGTTGATCTCGGTTTGCAGGGAAGAGGACAGTTCGATCTTAGCCTTCTCAGCGGCCTCACGGATACGCTGGATAGCCATGCGGTCGCCGGAGAGATCAAGGCCAGAATCCTTCTTGAACTGCTGGACGATGTGGCGAACCAGGTGGATATCAAAGTCCTCACCACCAAGGTGGGTGTCACCGTTGGTGGACTTGACCTCGAACACACCCTTCTGGATCTCCAGAACGGAGATATCGAAAGTACCACCACCCAGATCATAGACGGCGACAACACGGTCGGCCTCCTTCTCCAGACCGTAGGCAAGGGCAGCAGCGGTGGGTTCGTTAACAACACGGAGAACGTTCAGACCAGCGATCTGACCAGCGTCCTTGGTAGCCTGACGCTGAGAGTCGTTGAAATAAGCAGGGACAGTGACGACAGCGTTCTTGACGGGCTTGCTGAGGTAGTTCTCAGCAGTCTCCTTCATCTTCTGGAGGACGAAACCACCGATCTGAGATGGCGAGTACTTCTGACCACGAGCCTCAACCCAGGCATCGCCGTTGGTGTGCTGAACGATCTTGTAGGGGACCTCCTTGATGTCACGCTGGACCTCGGGATCGGTGAACTTGCGACCGATGAGACGCTTGGTGGCGAACAAAGTGTTCTCAGGGTTGACAACGGCCTGACGCTTGGCAGCAATACCGACCAGACGCTCACCATCCTGGGCGAAAGCAACAACGGAGGGTGTTGTTCTAGCACCTTTTCATTAAAAAGTCAGCTAAACTGTCACAAACCAGAATCGCGGCTGAAGCATTGGGTTCATGCTCCAATCAGAAGACGCCATGAAAAATTTTTTCTAACGTACCTTCTGCGTTCTCAATGATCTTGGGGGTCTTGCCCTCCATAATGGCGACGGCCGAGTTTGTAGTACCTAGGAAAGCTGTTAGAAGGAAAATCTTGAGTGTGAACACTGCCGAAATAACATACCCAGATCGATACCAATGACCTGGCCCTTAACCTTCTCACCCTCGGTGGAGTTCCATCTCCGGAAAGAGGCGCCGGGAACTCTGAAAGCAGGGGTGCGGGCAGTACGCGGCAACTGAAAGAGAAAATCAACGGTTAGTCCGGAAGATCGAGCTTGCGATGATGTTTCGGAAGAGGATGAACATACAGCGCGGACGAGACGAGATGGCATCATCGTGACTTGATTAAAAAGTAGATAATACAGAAACTCAAAAAGAAGGAACTAGCGAGAACTCCGGTCCGATTCAATCGAAGGGAGAACGAGATGGAGGAAGAGAAATAGGGAAAGGTACGGAGGATGAGAGGAGGAAAGGAGATAGATGACTTTTTTAATGTCTGGGGAAAAAGAGACTTCAAAGGAAGAAGGGAGAATGGGCGGGTAGTAGTAGAAATTGCACGGAGACCTTCGGCCCGTCGTCGAAATTGGTAGAATCACGGCAACGTAGCTGGCCACCCAATGATAGCCGAGTTAGCCTTAGACCGCCTCCTAGCCGGGCCAATCACCGGCTGTGAGAGCTGGCCATCTAAGTAAAATTCTTGGTAAGGTACCTAAAGGTACTGAGCCTGGCTGGCAGTAGCAGGTACTCTTACCTCTTTATGTGAAAGGAAAAATTTTCTAAATATTCAGATATTTCATATGCCATATCTTCTCAGTGCTCAATTAGTGGAGGAGAACGAGTGGCCATGGGAAGGCAATTATATATGGTCTGAATGCAGGACTTGAGCCACCGTTTTAATGCTGATGTAGCTCTAGTCTATGGCGCTGTTTTGCCTAGAAGAAGGACGGTTCTATATCATTTATATGAATGACCTTGGAACAGCCTAGTATAGACAATATCTATATTGATATGTGTTGTAATGAACTTCCTTATATACACTACAAAGGAGAAGACAACACCATGCGGTAGATCTTTCACTATTTCTCTGCTTCAGAGGACTATAGGTATACTGCCAATATCAGCCCTACGGAAGGTCTGTATCCTATACCCCTGTAGTAGTGGTATACAGAAAAGGGCCGGGAATCAACTGAGAAATCCGGTATTGTTTGGTAGAATGGAATTCCATATTACTGTGGCAATTCTGAATTTCATATACGCCGTACTCCGAAGCCGGCGTTGAGAGGACGGAATTTCATCCAATTGTCCCATGATCTACAACTGCTTATATGCCATTCCGAGGGTGCAATTCGTCAGTCAGCTTTGTTCGTCCCGATAAAGGGGTTTGCCAAATTGTTCTCCCAATTGATGTCACGTGGCTCGGAGATCTTGCTAGCATTCCGGGTCCCAGCATGACGACTAGCTCTCTTCAATAACTGCGGAGGGCATATTTATCTGCCGATATTTGCAGAAGACTGCCTTGATGTTTAAGGAGTACCTCTGTAACTAGGCGCAAGATATATCATTCAATGAACGACAACTAGTTACACCACAGCAAATGCACGATACTCATCACGCGATCTTGGTACTTCGTCTGTGTGAAGAGAGAATCCGGTGTTCACTGGCCTGCGAGCAGATTATATAGACTCCATCAACCTTTCCTCAACGTGCTGGATGCATCTACTTTCGGCAATAGACCGACTAGTCTGATTCCGGAGACTCGACATGAGGGTAATGAGATGGTGGAATGGAATCTCGGCCAGCCGCATTATTCGCTGAAGGTTCCCCCGGATTTGTCTGTGACAAGACTTACGTCATCAGCTCCGGGGCCAGTGATCACAACCCCAGGCCTCGACCATTCCCAAGTCGTCACTCTCAGTCACACCATCATACTACTACACCCTTACCTTACCTATACCTCTTATCTACCTTACCCTAGCTGATTTTATGGTTGACGATGATCCAATACCTAGGTAGTCGCAGTAGTAACAGCAGCAATTATCCTCCGATTCTGATCACAACTACCTTTGGTTCGGGTGGTGCTACTACCAGGTTGTAGGGTACCTCACAGGCAGAAAGCACGCTCGCAATTTTGTCCATCGCCACTTACTACACTACTTCTTATCATATTCATCGTCGTCATCTTCTTTGTCTTCTCTCTGCAGCCCGCTTCGGCAGCCGCGGCGTCTACCCCAGTCCCGCTCCAACAATGTCAGCGTGATCTTGACAAAACCATCATGACTACGGATTCTGCTCTATCGTTGGTCCAAACCTGCCTTTAGTGTTGGCTTGTTTCAGCTTCACCTGGCTAACCCTGTTGTTTTATTAGACATCACTCAACTGAGTCACTGATCCTTGCAACAAAACGCCGATTTTTCCCTTTCAAAATACCTAACTTGTCTGTCACTCTGCTACACTGACGAGTTCGTCGCATGAATGGGTCATGCTAACACTACCGTAGCCACCAACAACTTCGCCACTATATCAGCACTGCCGACCCGGACAAAATCTACTTAGTCGCTGACAGGGTGATATTTTCGATTCACATTTCGTCGCAAAAGCGAGAGACTATAGCGGTCATACCGTTTGAACCGAAATGTCTTACCGCGGGTTATGGTTGGATAGGTGTCGGGGGCTCCGATAATGGAGAGTGTGCCTTTGTACGGATCGCTGATCGGGCCACGCGTGGCGATGCATCAATTTTGCCGTCCTCAGATGTCGACAGTGCCTTACCTATCAACCTGGAACCTCCAACAAGCCTTTCCCCTCCTTGGCCCTCTCGGGGAGAGTCTGAGTCGAGTCACCAGGCTTCACGACCGCATATGCCCGAGGTACAGTTGCACAAGTTTGGGGGCAGCATTGTGAACTCAGTGACTGTTCACCGGTTGCCCGGCGCCGACAAGGGATTCGCCGATGAGGACATTATGATTCTAAGGTATTTCCACCATAGATGACTTCCGGTCTAATAGTTGGTGCTGAATGTGCGGCAGTAATAATGACAAGACTGTTACAATCTATTCTCTAACTCGGTCGAAAGTCCTCAAGGTCCTTCATCACCCCGCATGCATGAATTATGCTATTATGTCACCGGACTCCACTCTGCTCGCTGCGGTTGGAGATGAGACTCGTGCATATTTCTATGATGTTACATGTGATTTTGAGACAACGGTTCTGACAGACAACGGTGAGAAGCTTCCTGCATGGGACTGGGATCTTATCCGTTGCATAGAGATGGATATTGGCACGCGCTTTGATGATGGTTGCTGCTTCACTGTTGCATTCTCTCCATTCAGTCGACTGTGCGCTATCGGTTCACAGTCGGGAGTTATTACAGTGTTCGACGTGGCCACAGTTCGAGACACAGCAGGCGAGCCAGACGGTAAGAATGCGATAACATGCAATTTCAACTCATCAAGGCCATGCTGTAACGGTGGTGCTGTGCGATGCATGGCTTTTGCACCCGAGCCTTGGGACCTCCTGGTATGGCTTGAAGACAAAGGACGAGCCGGGGTCGCGGATGTTCGCCAGGCTTTCATACGCAGACAGATTCTAAATCTGGATATGAACGACCCCGACTTGCAAGAAGTATATACAGAGCCGATACTAGATGACTCTGAAGAACTCGAATCTGATCTTGACGGTCGGGTTCTCGCTGAATTTCGGCATGGAACGGATGCACCCACCCGTGCTATCCTCGATTCGATCGAGCGTACTTCGAGTGAGCGGGGAAATGGGGCGGATAATTCTCCTTTGCGTGAGAGCTTGATACAGGACCTCACACAGAGAGAGAGGCTGATTGTGGAATTCTTAAATACAGCACGTTGGACATCGAGGTTAGAAGAAGGTCTGACTGAACGGCGAGCTAGAGTCAATGCCCAACCGCACCCTGTGCCTCGCTCTCAGTTTCAAGCCTCCACAGAAGGAACTCATCGACCGTCCCGTCCTACCTCGCCACCACACCGAAGCGACGCCCTGGTTGATACATTTCGGGAAAACTACCTTGGCCATACAGGAATTTCCGGCCGGAACTTGAATGCAGGGCGCGACAACCCTGTGACTTCTCCACAGGGATATCCTGAGGGTAATGGGACGGTTATCGGAACTGGGGCCAATGTTGGACCGCAGCCAAGTCTCACTCTGAGCTGGACAGCTTCACCGTCAGAACTTCAGTCCGCTACATTTCTTGACCGCTTGCATGCTGCAGACCCTAATACCGATGGTCCGAGCAGCTCTAATAGTGAAGAAGGCTCGGAGACTCGAGCCCATGAACCTCTAACTCGCCCGTCTGCCACCATTGATCGTTCTGGCGCTTCGCGACTCACGGCATCCGATAGTCGGCATGACTTGGGACGTCTGTCAACCTCAGAATTGAGGACTAATGTCGCGGCAGAGCGGCTTCGAAGGCAACGACAAATTATCAACGAGGCGCAACACAGAAACAGTCAGCGCGAACAACGATACCGGCAACAGCTCTTGGGTTTTGAACAGACACGCTCTCCTAGATGGATCAGGAGTGTCTTGAACGAACTCCCAGACAGGAGTCTGGGGCCCGGAGCTAGAGACCAGGAGTCAGGTAGCACGGCTGGACTGGGTTTCGGCGCTGACGGAAGGACACTGTAAGACCTGGCCGTGGCCTTTTTTCCAAGCTCAAGTAGGAAAACTGACTTGAACAGGTATGTCGCCACAGTAGATGGCATTTTCGAATTCCAGATCAATACTGCTGACCGAAAGACATTCCCCGTTATGTCGTATCGATGAGCATACCCTCGTCAGAAACCGGGGGCTCTGTCATTCCCGTTGGATGCTTTACTATTGATATGATGAGGTGGAAACACCTCGTCGACGACGCAATTCCTCGTCTTTTTCATCATKATTCTTCATCTCCTTCGTCTTATTTCAAACTTCTGTCGATCTCCTTCCCGTCTTCCTGGCCTCGGTTACATACTGAAGTCAGGGGTGCCCATTCTTACGGTGCAGTGCAGCGACCGAGGAGAGCCCATCAGACGGCTTCGAATATACCACAGGTTTCTTGTCACATTTTGAGACACTCGTCTTTGCAACTTGAGTATGCATGAGTGGGAGACTTGAATTTTGCATGGATGGTTCAGTTTGGCATGCTACATGATGCATCTATGCATGGCGTTCACGGCGACTGTACATGGTCATTTTTGTATGCAGGAATAGCTGCTGGATATATGGTGTGGCAGAAGGTTCTTCTTAAGTCCATTGATAATAAATTACTATGATATGTGGAATTATAAACGTGCGGTAAAGACGTCAAAAGCAGGGAGACACACATCTAACTGCTTGATATCAATTAGCAAGTACCTCGCATTAGCTAAGGAACGAGAATTACAGCACAGTCCCCACTCCGACGTCAGCGAAAGTTGTGTGGKGGCTCGCTTTAGTGTTACTGCCATTCATCGCCGCCATTTCATGAGATACACGTACTCGTACAGTTGCTGGCTTCTAATTTCCTCACTCGTTTATGAATATTAGCTGCTTAGAGCCATCTTCTCTGTGTTAATAATTTCCCCTCCCACATAGACTGTTCTCGAAGTATTCACTGGCAAACCACGTGACTGTGAATCTGGAGTGGAGGGTCGTTGCACTATTCTGTGTCTCCAGATCGAACATCCCTCAAATCAAGCAAACGTCGCACTGAATCCCAGCGAGACCAGGCAGGATTTTTATAGTTCTGACATCTCTCTGCACCGCTCCTTTCAATGGCGGAAACGGTGGCCTCCATCTTGGCTGACCTGAACCTCAACTCCGAGAATCTAAGCGGCTCCGCCTTCGATGCTCAGCTTGCTGAAGAGGAAAATGGAACCTTCAGACACCGTGGTCCTCGACAGCGGCCACGACAGAGTGCCTCAGATCTCAAAGCTGAATTGGAGAGAGAGTTTTTGACACCATCACCACGATTCAGCCCAGAATGGCTCAACCGCCTTCAAAAGTTTGTTTTGGCAACCTACGCCTGGTTTGTATTACTACTAACGATCCTCGCAGGCGATGGGATGTCCCGACTGACTACACGGACCTCTACGAGATTGCTCCCACACAAACACGGACTATTGTTCGGTTTACCCGGGAAGGTCTGGAGGGTCGAGTCACTGGTTACCATGAAGTCACGGTCCCCGCTGCAGCAGCCAACGCCAAAAACTCGACGTCTCTACTGCGCAGGCCCGCGGGTCGTGCGGACTTCGTGAGAGGCGCGGCAGGATTTTTCCCATTTGCACCGGGAGGACTCGATGGTGTTGAGGCTATTGCTGAAATGGAATCTGAAGCACAGGCTGCGGAACGCTCAAGAACTGGTGGCAAACAGTCCGGTCTCGACCGTATTATCAATTTTGGAGCCGAGGGTGGCCTCTTGGAAATAGCCCCGGGCTTTTCCCGCGGGTTGCAATTCGAAGCGGCCAAGACCAAGGAAGGAGCGGAGGGTGACGAGGAAGTCAAGCATGCCCTGCAGCAAGAGGAAAGTGATCTCCATGTAGAGCGAGACGAAGACGCCGTCTCAGACGTTGAAGGTGGGGTGAAGATTGGCGAGGATGATGAATTGAGTGGCGAGGAGGATATCGATTCTCTCCTCCCCGTCGAGTTCCCAGCCTTGGAGCCTCGAGCACCGTTACTCGGCGGCGTCAAGCAAAGGCAGGGTGGCAAAGAGTGGGCTCACGTTGTGGATGTCAATAAACACATCCCTAACTTCCATGAACTCGTGCCTGACATGGCTCGCGAGTGGCCATTCGAACTGGATACCTTCCAGAAGGAAGCAGTGTACCATCTCGAGAATGGCGATTCCGTCTTCGTCGCGGCTCATACTTCAGCCGGTAAAACTGTCGTTGCAGAATACGCTATAGCTCTGGCCTCGAAGCATATGACCAAGGCGATCTACACGTCTCCTATCAAAGCCCTGAGCAATCAAAAGTTCAGAGACTTCAGGACTGAATTTGATGACGTTGGTATTCTCACTGGAGATGTTCAAATCAACCCGGAGGCCAGCTGCCTGATCATGACTACTGAGATCTTGCGGAGTATGCTCTACCGAGGTGCGGATCTGATCAGAGATGTCGAATTTGTGATCTTTGACGAGGTGCACTATGTGAATGATCTCGAGCGAGGTGTTGTTTGGGAGGAAGTCATCATCATGCTTCCGGAACATGTCACTCTCATCCTGCTCTCTGCTACAGTCCCCAACACCTATGAATTTGCCTCCTGGGTTGGTCGTACGAAGAAGAAGGATATCTACGTCATCTCCACCGCCAAACGTCCAGTCCCACTGGAGCATTATCTCTGGGCAGGTAAAGACAAGTACAAGATTGTCGACTCGAACAAGCGTTTTCTCGAGACTGGCTGGAAAGAAGCAGACAACATCATTTCGGGCAGAGACAAAATCAAAGCACAAAAGGCCGCCGAAGCTCAAGCTCAGTCTCAAGCACAGCGCGGAGGACAGCAAGGCAGAGGACGTGGGCAGCCTGCTGGTAGAGGGGCTCCTCGTGGAAACGCTCAGCGGGGCGGTGCTCCTCGCGGCAGAGGCCAGCCAGCTAACAGGGGTACTGGCAATATCGCTCGTACGGGCCGAGGTGGAGGACGAACAACGGCTGCTCAGGATAAGACAATCTGGGTACAACTAGTGGGGCACCTCCGAAAAGAGAACTTGCTTCCAGGCTGTATCTTTGTTTTCTCGAAAAAGAGGTGTGAAGAGAACGCCGACTCACTCTCCAATCAAGATTTCTGCAATGCTTCCGAGAAGAGTTTGATTCACATGTTCATCGAAAAGTCCCTGACCCGACTCAAGCCAGAAGATAGAACGCTGCCACAAATTCTTCGGTTGCGGGAGCTGCTAAGCAGAGGTATCGCCGTTCACCACGGTGGACTTCTGCCAATCATGAAAGAAATTGTGGAAATTTTGTTCGCAAAATCGTTGGTCAAGATTCTTTTCGCTACCGAGACTTTTGCAATGGGTCTCAATCTGCCCACACGAACGGTCGTTTTCTCCGGATTCCGAAAGCACGACGGTAGAGGCTTCAGAGATCTCTTGCCAGGCGAGTATACTCAGATGGCAGGACGTGCTGGACGGAGAGGTCTTGACACTGTTGGATACGTCATCATTGTGAGCGCTGGTAGAGACGAGGCACCCCCTGCGGGTGCTTTGAGGAAGATGATCCTTGGTGACCCGACAAAACTCCGGTCTCAGTTCAGACTCACTTATAATATGATTTTGAACCTCTTGCGTGTGGAAGCTTTGAAGATCGAAGAGATGATCAAGCGAAGCTTCAGTGAGAATGCCACCCAGGCTCTGCTGCCGGAGCATGAGAAACAGGTCCAGCTTTCTGAAGCAAGTCTGGCGAAGATCAAACGAGAGCCTTGCGATATCTGCGACATTGACGTGGTGGCCTGCCATGATGCAGCTATCGAGTATGAGAAGCTAACGAGCGAACTTCACGTTGGTCTACTTGCGTCTCCTGTCGGGAAGCGTCTATTTATGCCAAAGCGACTTGTTGTGTATCGAAAGGTGTGTCGGACAGTGGATGTCATTACCTTCTGTTTTCGCATTGACTAAACCTTTTCATAGGATGGTTTCCGAACTGCAGGTATCATTGTTAGAGAAGGTGTCGGAGGAGGTGCCACTCCTAGCATACAGGTCCTTGAGATTGGCAAATTGAGCCACAGACGCCATCCAAGCGACATTTTGCCCTTCCTTCCAAGATTCCGACATTTGCTACAACCTCTGCCGACTCGTGCTGCCGACATGACGCTGAAAGTTTGCAAGATTCCTCTTTCAGACCTAGAGTGTGTTACCAACACGATGGTGAAAGTGGGCGGTCCAACATGGTACCTGAATATCAAGAAAGGTTTGATTTGAACTTTGTGCCCATCACTGTGGCAGAAGCTAATTCGAAACACACAGAGGCAATTAAATTCGCGGATAAGGAGCTTTCGAAACTTTGCTCTTCCTGGGCAAGCCCTGTCTGGGATGAGATGGATTGGGCTCGGATCAAAGAGCTACAGGTGCGAGACATACTAGAAAAACGGCAAGCACAGGCAGCTATCACTCAATCTTGCCGTTGCTTACAGTGCCCGTCGTTCTTGAAGCACGTGAGTTGCCATCGCCTTTATAACCGGTTCCTCGTAAACTACATTGTTACTGACTTCGGGCAGTTTGAGATGCAACACGATGAATGGCAGGTGAAGGAGAATATCTCCCAGCTGAAACAGCTTATGTCGGACCAAAACCTGCAACTACTACCGGACTACGAGCAGCGCATCCAAGTGCTAAGGGACCTAGGGTTCATTGATGAGCAATCCCGAGTTCAACTGAAGGGCAAAGTTGCATGTGAGGTGAGTCATCAAATCTTCCATGAGGGCTGGAAGTGTAGAGCTAATATTTATGGACAGATTCACTCGGCTGATGAACTGGTACTGACGGAGTTGATTCTCGAGAATGTCCTGGCCGAATACGAGCCTGAAGAGATTGTTGCGCTCTTGTCCGCATTTGTCTTCCAGGAGAAGACAGAGAACGTTCCTACTTTGACCCCTCGTCTAGAAAAGGGCAAGGAGTCGATTATTCGGATCTCGGAGAAGGTGAACGACCTCCAAATCCAATACCAGGTCATTCAGTCTAGCGAAGACAGCAACGACTTCGCCAGCCAGCCCCGCTTTGGTCTGGCAGAGGTAGTTTACGAATGGGCCAAGGGCATGTCCTTCAACCGCATCACAGACTTGACAGATGTGATGGAAGGTACCATTGTTCGGACGATTACTCGACTAGACGAGACCTGTCGCGAAGTAAAGAACGCGGCCAAGCTGGTTGGAGATCCGACGTTATACACGAAGATGCAACAGGCGCAGGAGCTGATCAAGCGCGATGTCATCTTTGCGGCGTCTTTGTACATGTAGCATGCTTAGAAGGGATCATCGTCTTTGCTTCTCCTCATTACGCTAGAGTACAACGAATTGCATGATATTGGGAAGCAAATATCTCAACTTACAAGATGATGACCACGGAAGGATGGGGAAACAAAAACCACCCGATACTCTAATAAACCTGATAAAGGGAGAGCATGAAACAACAATGCTCTCAGCCTGCTCCATACAATAAGGATCGTTTGTAATTTGAGATACGGAGAATGTTGAAGCATTTAGTAATCCAGGAACCATGGAGGTAATTCGGGAGAAAATTCTCTGACCGCGCGAGGCGGCGAGCATTCTGATTAGCTGCGATTGCGATAGGCGCGGGGCGGGCACAAAATTCATGAAAAGCAAACCCAACTTTAACCACTGAATGTTTTCTTCTTGTGGCCCAGTCCTAGTAGTCTGTGCTTTTGCTCTGCCCTGCCCTTTTCCTGTGATTGTCACTACTGGACTAACTACCGGGAAAATAATCTGCACCCTATCCTTCTCTACCACTGCCTAATATCCGCTACTTATCTCCTTTCCCTCTCCTCCCCTCTCCTCTTCTCCTCTCCTCCTTCCGCCCCCATCTTCCTTTCGGGTTCACCACCTCGTGACGGGGTTTCTTCTATTCGGAGTTCTTGATTTTTGTTTCCAGGGGTCTGTTGTTGGTGCGAAATGGATGTTGCAGCTCTCCGAGACCGCATCCAGTCTACTCTCGACGCAAATGCGGATAATCGACGCCAAGCTGAATTGGATTTAAAATATGTATGTGGGGAGAGGACTCCGGAATGAGGCTTGACAGTGAATTTCTTTGGCATAAATCTAATACTGGTAATTATCTAGGCTGAGACACAACCTGGCTTCATAAATGCGCTTCTGGATATTTTGCAGGGGGAGCAGAACAATGCTGTTCAACTTTCGGGTACGTTGACCCCGCTGGATGTCCAAAATTCTATTTTTTTTTTTTTTTTTTATTCGGGCCCCTGAAGATCGATCGAATATTGGCCTTTCTCTGAACATAACTGATGATGAGTAATTACTTGCAGCCGGTGTCTACCTGAAGAACAGAATCAACCGCGGATGGTCACCCGTCGAAGACAGCCCCCTGCGCGCACCGATCCCAGAGGCTGAAAAGCCCAGCTTCCGAGAGAGGCTGATCCCAGCACTCGCATCGACGCCTCCCAATGTCCGCGCACAGCTGGTACCTGTCCTTCAAAAGATTCTTCAGCATGATTTCCCTGAACAGTGGCCGGGTTTTCTCGATATTACCCTTCAGTTGCTGGGCACCAACGATGCGAACTCCGTCTACGCCGGTCTACAATGTCTGCTGGCCATCTGCCGTGTTTACAGATTCAAGGCTGGAGAGAAGAGGGAGGAATTCGACAAGATTGTCGAGCACTCATTTCCTCAGCTCCTGAACATTGGCTTGAAATTGGTCGACGAGGAAAGCCTGGAGGCCGCTGAAATGCTCCGGATTGTTGTCAAGTCCTACAAACATGCTATTTATGTGGGTGACCCGGAAATGAAATGCAACTGCTGCGGGAAAGGGGCAATGGCTGACTGTTGGCGATCATAGTTTGAGCTTTCGCCTCATCTTCAAAGCCACCAAGCGACTGTCGACTGGTGCACACTCTTCCTGAGAATCATTGCCAAGCAGCCTCCTGCCAACTCCATGATGGAATCCAAGGAAGAGAGGGAACTCAATCATTGGTGGAAGTGCAAGAAATGGTCGTATGCCAACTTGAACCGTCTGTTCATCAGGTGAGTGGATGTCTCTTCCGGTTTTGTTTGACGGTGAACAATTTATTTACAAGAGTCCTTAGATACGGAAATCCCACCACAATGACCAAGTCTAGCACCCCGGATTACTCCCAATATGCGAAGACGTTTATCAGTACTTTTGCTCCGGAGATTCTCAAGGGATATTTGCAGGAGATTGACAAGTGGGTGTCAAAGGGACAGTGGCTCAGCAACCCTGCTCTTGCCTACACCTTGATCTTCCTGGAAGAGTGTGTCAAGCCCAAGGCGATGTGGGAGCACCTGAAGCCGCACATGGACAACTTGATCGCTCACTTCATATTCCCGATCATGTGCCAATCAGACGAGGATATTGAGCTGTTCGAAACCGACCCCTCAGAGTATCTCCACCGGAAGTTGAACTTTTACGAAGAAGTTTCGGCGCCGGATGTTGCGGCCACGAATTTCTTGGTCGCGCTCACGAAGAACCGGAAGAAGCAGACTTTCTCGATCCTTACCTTCGTCAACAGCGTTGTTAGCAAGTATGAATCTGCGCCGGACGATCAAAAGCTGCCCCGAGAGAAGGAAGGTGCTCTTCGCATGATCGGTTCACTGGCCTCTGTCATTTTGGGCAAGAAGAGTCCGATCGCCGACCAGGTCGAATACTTCTTCGTTCGTCACGTTTTCCCGGAATTCCGCAGTCCTCATGGCTTCCTCAGAGCTCGCGCCTGCGACACTCTTGAGAAATTCGAGCAGCTCGATTTCCAGGACCCTAACAACCTCATGATCATCTATCGGAATATCTTGGAATCGATGACGGATCCTGAATTGCCCGTCCGAGTGGAGGCCGCTCTTGCTCTGCAGCCCCTCATTCGTCATGACATTATCAGAACGTCGATGCAGCAAAACATTCCCCAGATCATGCAGCAGCTTCTGAAGCTCGCCAACGAGGTCGACGTGGACGCTCTGGCAAATGTCATGGAGGACTTTGTCGAAGTTTTCTCTGCTGAACTGACGCCGTTTGCCGTGGCTCTCAGTGAACAACTCCGTGATACGTACATGCGTATCGTTGGCGAATTGCTGGAGCGAAACGCTGCCAAGGGCGAAGAGGACACATATGGAGACTTTTTGGACGATAAGAGCATTACTGCTTTAGGTGTGCTGCAGACCATCGGAACACTCATACTGACTCTCGAGAGCACGCCTGATGTGCTCCTGCATCTTGAGACGATTCTCATGCCGGTTATTAGCATCACGCTTGAGAACAAGCTTTACGACCTCTACAACGAGGTCTTTGAGATCATTGACAGCTGCACCTTCGCCTCGAAATCCATCTCCCCTACAATGTGGCAGGCTTTTGAGCTCATTCACAAGACCTTCAAAGCAGGTGCCGAGTTGTATCTGGAAGATATGCTACCTGCCCTTGACAACTACGTCGCCTATGGCTCGGAAATGCTGGTTCAGAACCCTGCATACCTTGCGGCCGTCGTTGGCATGGTCGAGGATATCTTCAGGGACGAGAAAGTCGGCGGTGTCGACCGGATATGTGGGTGCAAACTCGCGGAGACCGTGATGTTGAATCTGCGCGGCTATATTGACCAGTACATCCCTCTCTTCATTGAGCTTCCAATGCGCGTCATTGAGGCTGGGGAGGCTAGGACGAAGTCCTACCGTCTTCACCTGATGGAGATGGTAATCAACGCCATTTACTACAACCCTGTCCTCAGTCTGCAAGTTCTGGAATCCAAGGGCTGGACAAACAAATTCTTCAGCACGTGGTTCTCCCACATTGACAACTTCAGACGTGTTCACGACAAGAAGCTGTCGATCGCAGCGATCAGCTCGTTGCTCACTCTGAAGGCTGGAGACGTTCCTGCCAGTGTGCAGCAAGGTTGGCCTAGACTCCTTCAGGGAGTCACCAGACTCTTCCAGACCCTGCCTGCAGCAATCAAGAGTAAGTTCCCGACTTCTTTTACCGCTGAATGTTACTAAGCTTTTGAAAGGCCGCGAGGACGCCACGAAAGAGTCCGACTTCACATACGATGACGAAGGTGAAGAGGATGACGAGGAGAATGACTGGGACGGCGAAGTTGAGTGGACCGAAGGGGATGAGCTCGAGGGGGCAGCCGAGGGCGACGTTCCTGATGAGAGTGCCGCCTACCTTGATTTCCTGAACCAGGAGGTGAGTCGCATCATGATTTCGGTCTTCAGAAAATCACACTAACCCTATTTTCCAGGCGCAAAAGTTCGGCTCCTTTGCTGACGACGATGATGACGAGCTGGATGAGGAGAGTTTGCTTGAGACGCCACTGGACAAGATTGAGCCGTACGGCATGTTCAAGCACGTATTCATGGGTATGAGTCTTCCCCTGATGTGGTATGGTGCGCTTTAGCTAACTTCGGACTCCCCACCAGGCCTTCAACAGGAACAGCCACAGCTTTATGAGAATCTCACGAAGATTTTGAGCCCTGAGGAACAGCAGATCATTCAGGCTGTCTTCCACGAGGCTGATGCCAAGGCCATGGCAGCAGCTAACGTGGAAGCTGTTGCTGCTGGAGTTCAGGCTAACGGCACMCAATGAGACACGACTTGCAAACAGAATCAAAAATTAAAAAAATAGAAAAGAAGAGATCTTCGGCCGGTCGACGAAATGAACCAGTTGACATTTGCTGAATCTTCCACATTGATGATATAAGAACATGCCATGGCAGTCTGTATGGCTGTTTTGTCTACAGCTCTTGGGCTTTGGCTGTCTTCAAGCAGGCGCCTGGATTGAATAGGGCTCTCCCGCCGCATGTGCTCGTTTTTCCTCGCCCCATTTCTTTTTGTCATTTAGATCGTTTTCCTTTTTTCTTTTATTTTTGTCTGAATGCTGTCATGGCCCTTTTGGTTCGTCTATAATTGTCACCATGATATCTCTACACAAAAGTCCCACCATTGTGATTTGACTCCATTTTCCCCTGCATACATGTACTGCACAGAATCAGATTCCCCCATCAATCAATCCTGGCACTTGGCTTAGGTTCATGTTATGCTTTGGCATGAGCGAAATGAAATGCATTCTACGATCAGAGAAGCAAGCTCCAACTATTTTCCACTTCGTTATTGGCTGAGTAATTGACGCCGCGGCCACAAAACTTATGTAAGTCACATGATCTAAGTGCAAACAGCACAAACGACCCAGCCTATGACGCCATATCTGAAATCATGCCTGCTACAATGTAGATAGACAGAGTCGAGTGGTCAACGATGCATCCAGTGATAGTGCCTCGTCAGTTCTTTCAATTGCAGCATGGACCGAAGACTGCGTACTATATAGTTGTGTCTTATAACTCAGTATTTGTTTTATGTACGAATTACCCCTCGTACTAGCAGAAGTACTTGCAGCGACAAACTGATGATAGCAGTGGGCCCCATCTCAACGTCATGATGATGAATCCCAACAAGGCGACCCTGTCTCCAGCTCTTCATAGCGTTTTAGCGCAAGTCGTCTACACTTAAAAGGCTACGTAGGTATCTTGCCGGACATCTCTCACACTAGCAAATTATCAAAAAATCATCAAACCATCCACACAATTGCAGTCTGATACCTACCATTGACACATCCTCCAATCCCTCCACAAAAAATCGTAAGTCCTCTACCCCTCTCATGAATCATGGATTCCGACTTATAACCGGTTCCCAGAGCAAAATGTCCGCACAACGCTCCGGCCGTCAGTCCCCTCCTCCTGAAACCCAGTCCGGCGCCCAGCAGCAGGATCCCCCCTCGGCGGGCAAGACCCAGCCCGAGCTTCGTGGCGACCCGCAGCACTCGCAGCGTGAGTCGAATGAGACCAAGGAGTCGAAGCTGGAGAGTAACCCCAAGCATCCGCTTGAGGATATTGAGGCGGCCAAGTACTCGAAGGTACATTGATGGGGCGGAAGGGAAATTTTTATGATGTATTTTTAGACTCCACTTGACGTGTGAATGAAACCTACGATTATTGAAAGAGTATTCTCCTCCTGGGAGGAATTATTTGATTGTGCACAGATTGTGCACAAAAAGGTTTTTCAAGGGGTGTTAAGTACAGAACGGAGGTGGTAGTGACTGCGATCACAAAACTCTTCCGATGAATTACTTGTCATGAATTGCCGTGAAACACCAGGTACTGGGGGATTTCAGTAAGAACAAAGAATTGGCTTGCGAGCAATATAGAAATAAATCAGACGTTGCTTAATCAGTATATCTCCCATCACGCCTTGGGCTCAGCGGGGGGTGCAGCACCCGCCGGTTGCGATATCGGCACAGTGCTAGGAGCAACGTCGGCACCCTCTGCACCAGCCGCAGCCGGAGCATCATCGTTTGTCTGCTTTCCGCTCTTCAAGTCTGCGAGTCTGCGGGCCTCGTTGTGGATGTCGCGCACCTGCTTGTCGGTCTGCACGTAGAACTCGCGGAGCTTCCTGCCAGATGGGGTATCCAAAGCCTTCTCGAAGTACGAGTGGAGACCGCGCCAGCCACTGGCCGCCTTGTCGGTGATCTTGTAGCTTTCGTCGATCCCCTTGGCACGATCGGTGGCATGGTACTTCTGGTCGAAGTTGGTCAGGGCCGATGTGAAGCGGGAGGAGAAGCCGTGCTTCTTGTCCAGGGCGATGGCCTGCTGGATGGCGTTATCGCTGATCACGTAGCCGTGGGCAAGGTACTCGGCGATAATCCGGGACTTGGGCTTATCCTCTTGCTCGAGATCCTGGCTGTTCTCGTCCTTGGCCTCCTCGGCGCTGGCGGCATGTCCTCCGGCGATCTCGTCAATGGTGTGAGCGGCGGTGACATGCACTGTGGAGGGACCCAATTGGGTTTGATCCAACAGCAAGGCAGTCTTCGCTGCTCTAGAAGATCGTTAGTCCAATTTCCGGTTCCATCTCAAGAAAAGAGAAAAAGTGTATGGCGTGATCAAGTTTTGATGGCGTGGACAGTGCGGGGTAGACTTACGCTTCTTTCTCAAACGTCACCGTTGCGGACTTGGTCGCATCCTTCTCGCCGGAAACTGGAGTCACAGAGATCGAAGTAATTTTTCCACTATTAGTAAATAGAGGATATTAGCAAGCTAGTCAAGAGGTTGCGGTAAAGATTGTCATACCAGAAGCTGAAGAAGTCCTTGACCTCCTTATCAGTGGTGGCGGGTGAGATTCCCGACACATGGACAGTGCTGCGTTCCGACATTTTGATTGAGAGATAGTTCGAGATGAATATGAAAGTATGTGCTTGGGTAGATATGGATTCGCAATATTTCACAGAAACCTGTAGGATGATCGGGTGGTGAAAGTCAAGAGGACGACTAACAGGTGTATTTATTTCGGCGTGCAGCCTAGCTCATGATTGCGCCACATATGACGTTGTGAGGGGTCGCGTGCACCGCCACGGTGGAGTAGCTTTGGTCACGCATGTGAAAGAAGTCAAGTTTGACACTCGATAAAAATAGATGGCTAACATGCAATTTGTCAATTACTGTCCAGTAAAGCCGGCAGAATAGATAGAAGAGGAACCGGAGAGAGAATGAGATGGCCGTGAATCCAACATTCGTTGATATTGACTATCCTAGGTGCGTTGTAGCTAGTTCTGAGGCTAATCAAGGCCCATCCTCCGCGTCGACCCTCGAGGAAATGGACAGTTTTCCTAATTTCAATGTGGCCTCATGGTCGTTTGTTGGCTGTTCTGGAGAAGTCACTTCGCGTTCTCGATATTTCCTAACAACAAGCTCGAGATCCCGTATGCGACGACGCAGAGCCTCGTTTTCTCGCTTGATAGCTTCCAACTCTCCTCGCTGGGCCAGTACTTCCTGGCGAGGTGGATTGCCAACAGCTGGTACTTGTTGGGGGGAGAAAGTCCTCTGACGAGCATTTGGATGAGGTCCGGGGACGTTGCTTGACACATTGTCGCCTTGTTGTTGTGATTGTGGCTGTATCAACGCAGCCAAGGATGGCAGGACTTGATCCAGCTGCCGCGATGTGATGGACAAGGCACGAGCTGACCTTGAAAGGTCGTTTGGACGTGCCGATGGAAGTGACAAACTGGGCTCTCGAGATCGTGCAATTGCGGTTCCATTTCCTGTTCTCGATCCTTGAACTACTGGGACATAAGACGAGCTTAGACTCGACGAGGAGCGGTGTCGCCGCGAGACTGTCGGATGTGCTGAGCTAACTAAGTACGGTGAATTGTGATATGCATCCAATGGGTCATTGAGTGTTGTGGAAGTGGAGGAGGCGGTAGATGCAACAGAGGCTGTTTGGTGGCGTAGCAAAGACAGCTCTCTGGAAAGCCGGTTTACCTGCAAACAAGCTCATGGTGTCAGAACTGTGCAGTGTTTCTTTGAGAATGTCTGTACTTACAATCGCTTCTTGCTCTCGCTCAACCAAGGAGTGGAGATCTGATGGCGTAAGGGGCTTTGGATGTCGCAGCGGAGCTTGCCAATTCTCAGTGATGCTTTCCTTGGAATAGGTCCAGCCAGTTTCTTACGTGACACTACTCCTGCGCCACCGCTTTCTCCCACCCCTGGCATTGAGCTTCCTTCATATGTTGTCTGGGGGAGAGAGATGGCGGGGTTGCCCATTCCCTGCGAGGGTCGTCGAAAGATGACGGCCGGGGTTGTGGACGGCTGCGTTGCAGTTGCGGCACGGCGGCGTGAAGTTGGGGAAGAGGTAGAAACAGGACTCGGATCTGCTGACATCCTTGCTTTTTGGACGCTCTAATGAGGCTGTCAGTTGAAGCGGGGAGCTTTGGAAACTATATAGAGGCGGCAAAGTCGCAGGAGTATCCAAGGCCTCTGCGGAAAGGAGCTGTTCTGAGAACAGTAAACTGGAAGAACGAAGATGGAGGGTCAAGAGGGGCTTCCAAGCGAGGACGCTGAAAGCCTGGAAGCAAGGTAACCCCTTGATTGAAATTCAGAAGAATGAGCTCAAAACATACCAGATATGGTGGGTGTCGCCAAGTTTACCTTCGAGCCTGTGGAGCTTCATAGTTCATTGATGATAAAGAGTGTCCGCTCACATTCGGGGGTTAATCAGCATTCATACATCGCATTCTGTAGGTCAGTGCGGTCAGCCTCACAGTAGTACCTGTACTTGATGTCTGAAGCAACTACAAATAGATGGCTAAGTCTCAAAGAATGATAGGATCTGTGATCGTCAAGAAAGAGACGGTGTGGACATCGCAAGTAGGCCAGTATGCCAACTTTCTCTGGGAGTCCAAACGCTGTGCCTAGCCAGTCGAAGCGAGAGGACATAGTTGAGGTGTCATCTCCCATTGTATCCTTGTCAGATCATTGTACATTCCGAACCGGTCGAAGAGAACCGTCCATCAGCATAATGACATCTCATTTGTCAGACATGACATGGTCAGAAGCTACTTGCTGATAGGGCTTCAGTGATTGATGTTGAAGCATTTTGACCCATCTGTCGACATAATATATTCCCTGCCTCTGAAGATGTATCATATATATCCAGTGCGGCGATAAATAGTTGGGACACATGAGAGTGACCACCAGGAGTCTGAATCCTTCTCAAGCTCTCCACACTTAGGAGATCCTATTTTGAATCCCTGAACGTACTTGGTTGTCTGGACGGGTTGCGGTAGGTAGATAATTGAGTATATCCCTTACTTCTGTGGTCTATGTATACCTGGGACGCTCTCAACGAGTGCACTGTCCGTCACAATGAGCTACGGATGATTGTGCTCAAAACAAGGAAAATCGATTTACACCATATCGCAAAGAGTGCGCAATCTTATCCCACGTAGATCAATTAAAGTCCCTCCTCAAGTCCCCATGTCTCGTAGCATCGTGAGAGCTTCTGCTCGCAGGCGATTGAGGAAAACAGTATGTATCTGCTTACGTAACAGGATTTACAACCTTCAGCAACAACAAAACAAAACAAAACCAATATTGTTAAAGATGCGAGTAATTGGGCAGGAAACAGGTAAGCCAGTCGCAAGAAGGATTGGCTTTGATATCCAACAATCCATGGAAATTCTAGGTTGACGTCAGAGTTCGCCTGTAGCTCCTGAGCGAATCACTTGTCATGGCTGGTCGATCTGAAGCTGATATCCAGACCGATGTTCCTCCTTTTGCCAGGCCGTTGGCCCCCTACATCAGAACTCGCCAGGAAGCGCTCCGCATTCGACAGGCCCTGACCTCCTACCTTCGTTCGCAAATAGATTTCGCGGACGATGACTCCGAAAATCCCAATTGTCATTCCCAATCTCATCTTACCCTTTGCGTACCGCAAGATGCCGTGGTCAATGTGAAGCGAATCCCGACAGAGTTGACCGGGCTGAGGAAGGAATACTTGGAAGCACTTCAGGCGAATCTGGTCGCGCGGAAGGAGTATCATTCATTGACGGAAAAAGTTGCGTCGGCAAAAGCGAGAACAAAAGGTTCAAAGACCGAGTGTCCATCTATCGACCACAGTTCAGAACTACAGGTATACCTCCGACTGCTTCGTGATCGCCGTCGGCATGCGAAGTTGCAGGTCTTTCAGCACTATCTACAAGAGCTCAAAGAACGGGACTCGAATATCTCCGAGCGCATCGGTGACCAAACGAGCCAAGGCCAGCAAACAGTGTCTTTGGAGGAGTCCGAGGAGGAAAGCAAATCGACGGGACGTGACGCAGACGATGGCATTGAAGGCTTGGTACATAAACTGGAAAGGGCGGTGATCCGTGCCAAGGCTCAACTGGACAGAGAGAGAAATCTGTTGGAGGTGTTGAAGTCGCAGCTCGCGCCAGACAGTACAGATGTACCACCGGCAGTCAAAGTCGCGGCACTGCAGCGGACGCGGGATGAGCTGGTGCAGTGGGTTGAAGAGAAATTAGTGAGCGTGGGTAACGCCGACGATGCTCCAGTGCAGGATCTTTCCCGCGAGGAGATTGAGGAGTCTGCTCGGTTGGTCGAAGACCAAAAGGCACAAATCGCGGCGCAGTATGTGGCCTACGTGGAAGCACGTAAAGGATTGTTGGATGCTGCTTCTCGGGCCTGTCAGCCTGTCGCAATGGCATCTACGAAGCCGTCATGCCAATCCGTCGACCTAGGGAAGCTCGCAATTGGGGATCGATCTTCACTGGGCCCATTGGAGGTTCTGTCTTTTGCAAGCGAGAATCTTCTTCCACTATCTAAGACCCAGCGAGCATTGGCTCTGCAAAAGAACTACTTATCGGGGTTGCTGGCCAAGGAAAGGTCTACGACTATCCGTATTCTAAATCGCTTGAGTGATGAGAGTCACCTCCTTCCGGAGTATCCCCTCTTGACTCATCAACCACGTTTCAAGCACATCAGTTCGAGGCATGCGACGAGCGCGACTGGTTTGCCGAAACCCGACGAAGTTGTTACTTTGGCTGAATCATGGGCGTTCGCGTCCGAAGCGGCGGCCAAGAACGAACACCAGTACGTCGAAGAGAAGTTGGCAGAGGGCCAGGAGGCGGCTACAGACGCAGAACATGTACTGCAGGAGGTGTACAACATGTTGAATCAGGACCTCGAGGAGACCTTGCGAGATCCGCACTCATCAGAAGAGGACTCGAATGACATCTGGGCCTCTGAGGCTCGTTCGACCTGGTCTCGCACGAGGACAACACGATCACAAAAGCATCCCAGAGGTCCATGGGCCAAGCTCAATGGGCAATTGGGTATCGCTGAGTGATTTCATAAAGGGAGCGCCACATATACTGAATTACTATGTTTCCATCTGCTGTATACATCTAAATGTTATGATATCACGCTTTGAACCTCAATTGTTTCTCAATGGTGCATTTCTCTTTGGAAATATGATTTGCAAATAAAGTTGTGATATCGGTCCGGAAGGGTAGGACAGAAGAGCCAGCCAAGTTGGTCATCACAGCTCCTCTATCCAGGATTGGAACGCGAGGACCCTCCGATATCCGCAATTTCGTGCCAAGCTGCCAGTAGCGAGGAAGCGGAAGCGAACTGGACTCCACGAACAGTATTGATCGGCCATCCATGAAAATTTTCAAGGAAGTGGTTTGTGAAGGGTAACAACAGTCAAATGCAATAATAGCCTAAGTTCGCGGTACATACATCAATTGAGGGAGATATGGCCAGCATGTACCCCGTATTTTCAGAGAAAGACACCTGTCGTTATCTTTGACAATGCGTCGAGGAGAGAGGAAATTGAATTAAAACACTCCGTAGTATCTAGTCAGTAGTCAGTAGTCCGTAGTCCGTATGCAGGCCTATGACTCTATGAACGAAATGAGACAATGACGATCTGGCATCCACCAGACCTGTGGAGAGGATTTGCACCAAGGGCGACTATGGGACTTAATAGTGCGCACAGCAAGACTACACAGTAACACAGAACTCCTACTTGAGCCAGCCACCAGAAGGGGAATACCAATTGGGATCGTCCTTAGGTAGGTAGGTTACTTTTCAACACTTAAGACTCTGGTGGGAATGGTACTATTCCCAAAAGAGATTACTGAATGGTCAGAACAACCCACTGCGTCATTAGCGGCGTCTGTGATAAACCCATTGCGACTTAGCAATTGACCTGGAGTGATTATTCCCCAAGCCTGGCTGAATCCTTGAAGGCTCGAACCACGTACTACTACGGACTAGGTATTGAGGAAACGCGGAAAGGCCTAGAGTGGGAACTGCGACGATGGTCTCTATGTATGCGCAACTAGGTAGTCCCACCGCATCCACTGAGCCATCCGCTGATTGGTGATAATAGTAGGCGGTGACGACCAAACGGGCAAAATTGGCACGGCAACAGCCAACGGGAGGAAAATCGCAGAGGAAAAGGGTAATAATAAGGAAAAAGTAAAAAAAGGGCCTCCGCACACCGGAGCTCTTATCATTAGTCCCAGGAATTACCACTGGTATTTGTACCTTTTTTGGCGGGAGATTCTAGTCAATCCTCTGGGACCGATTCCGATTCTCTGTCCGTCTCCAGACAGACGCATTGACTCATACCCTGCTTCACTAAGAGTCATCCATTTATCTCCCTCCGTACTCTCTTCTCTCCTCTCTTCTCCTTCTTGTTTCTCCAATTCCTCCTAGATTGCTTCCTGTACGTCAGGCCCAAGGCCATCAGTTCTTCCTATTCCTCTTTAGTCCTCCCCTGTCTATTGGGTGTGTGACACAAAGCGGGAGAGTAGGGATTACAGAAATAAGAGTCATTGATTTGGTGGTCAATAGACTCGCTTATTGCACTAGGTAGTCTTCTATATCTATTATTTTCCCTTAGCGCAGTGCGCAATGGTCCTCGCCGCTCGTTGCGGGCAGGCTACGTCCTCCCTTCTGCGTCAGCGATGTCTGACTGAGACCCGCCGGTCCGCTTTCGCTTTGCGCCCCTTCTCCGCTCAGACTACGGCCCGGTCAACGGCTTCGAGTCTGCGATTGCAGCAGAAGGTTGCGTCGCCATTGCGATCCCAGCAGCTCCGTTCCTTCTCCAGTGCCCTTCGCCGTTTGGCCTCGGAGTCAAACAACCCTCCCTCTGCCGACAGCTACCTCGCCAGCGGAGTTGTCAAGCCCGGTAGCAATCTGGTCGATGTCAAGAAGGTCCTTGTCATCGGTAGTGGTGGGTTGAGTATTGGACAGGCTGGAGAGTTCGACTATTCCGGTAGGTCACGCGACTCGCAATTCACTTATCTGGCATTGCAATTTGGCTCGTATCTCTGCGCGGAGCATTCCAAAGCAGCGTCAATGTGGGTTCG